GGACATTATCGTCGGCAAAAAAAGGGCTTGAAGATAAACACGAGGAAGCGCCAAGTAACACCTAATGATCCGCGTGACAATTAGCACGGGTAAAGGATATTTGCTTATGCGCTCGCTTGAACAGAGTTTCACTTTCCTTGTCGTTGATTCGCTTCCGCCAGCTATTTTTATATCTCACGTATCTCTCAGTCCTCTATACCGCGATGTACGGTCGTCCTCACGTGGTGAAAGTTCAAATTTTCGAGGGTCACGGATGTGTCGAGGGGGCTGGCTTTCATGGCCCACGAAAAGAACTCTCACGTGGCCTCGTGGATCCCACGAGTGTCATGATCCAGCGGGATGACGAACATGCTCGATGATTCGCAGATTCGCGCAATCTAGTTATGCAAAAATAGCAAACACGCGCGAAATACACGTGGGAACAGGCCACGAGTTGTTGGAACAAGCAACAGGTGGTCGAGGAATCAGGTTTTCCATTGATGGAGTTATTAGGTTAATACTAGATACAACATAAGTATTAAAAAATATTCAAAGGTGAAAGTATTACATACGTTTTACTTATAAAATTAACTAAATTAAAAATAGACTAATATAGAATTTCATGAAACATTTTTCCAATCATTTTTGGCCAAGATAAATCTTTTTTAATGTTATTATAAAATAGAGAAGAAAATCGTCTGGGGAGAGAGTGAGTGAGTGAGAGAGAGAGAGAGAGAGAGAGAACGTGACGTAATGATTTAGTATCTAGTCGAATTGATGTCAACGCAGAATTATATTATTTGTTTTCCGCCATAATATTGAAATAGTATGTTAATCATATTAATATGTATCTATATGTTTGCATTTTCCTGTTCAATATTTATATTTATGTATAGAAAAAAGTATGAAAGAACTAGATTATATTATAAAATAATAATGTGTGTGCATATATCATAAATTTCTTTGATAATAATAAAATTAATAATAAAGTTTTTGAAACATACACATACAACATTGCAATTTTGTATCAAAAATATAAATCTGCGAGCAAGAAAAGAGAAATTATCATAGAAAGATGTTTAATCTTTTATATAACAATATGGCAAATAATACATTTTTTGATGATTCTATCAATATAAAATATGTAGTATCAATTTTATCGTCATTTTAATAACCTCATCCGTATTAAGCAATTTGTCTAAAGAAATATGAAGCATATAGTAAAACAAATCGATAAATAGTTTACGTAAAATTTCATTATAAATTATGCCAGCAAATGAATTTGGTATTGATAAAGACACGTCAATATTCCCAATCCCTACCCAACAATTAGCACAGATATACGTGGATACGAATGCGGAATATTTAAGCGTACGATTTCTAACGTATGTTGCAGCTGCTCAGGCAACAATCTCGGGGCCGGAAGACGTCTACGTGAAGAAGGGTAGCACGATAAGCCTCACGTGTGAAGTTAATGTACGAAGTACGCCTCCCAGCAGCGTTTCGTGGCATCACGGAGGTGCCGTGGTGGATTTCGACAGTCCCAGGTACAAGCCGCGAAACTCGAGTTGTCAGTTTTGCACCCCCGCAACTCTCCTCTTTCTTTACACATGCGCGCATACATACACATACACGCATATATACGTACATGTTTCTTCGATCGCGGATGTTACCGCTACTATCACATAATCAAACGAGATCCTGGTGATGTATCGCGCGTTTTCTCGCCTCAACAAACAAAGAGGAAAGCTTATTGTTAGGTTGATTTTTCGGGTCGCTACTTTGTGATATCGTCGATCAAATTAAAAGCGTTGGAGTATCCCGTCTTTAATCGTTTTCAATTTCTCATCAATCTCAAAAGTCAAAAAAGCAAAGAATCTTTGATTGTAATTTTGTTCGGATTAGATGATGCTCTTTATGAAATAAAAATTATTCTCTGCCATTTTTTTTCTCTCTGCAGCGATGACGACAGATGCGTCACTCGTATTGTCAAAAATGATTATAATGCCACTCGTTAAAATTACTACAGTTTTTGCTTTCGTGATGTGTTCGCACTCGTCACGTTTTTAACGTATATTATACATCAGTTTTATACGGAAAGCCATCTGATGCGAATAAAAATTTTTAATTCTTTAAAATTTATTTTAAAATTTTAATTTCTACCATGCGCTCGTCAGATTCATTGACAAACGTTCAACTGCGTGCAATCGCTTTGCCATTCATGTTGCGATCACGCTGTTGTTATTGACGCTTCGCGCTCTAAGCTGCGTCTTCTCTCTGCAGAGAGAACTAATGACAAAGTAGCAATGTGTGTGACGAGAACGACGTCAAAGTATCTGCGATAATTCAGTGTTCACCGCAGGGGCGGTGTTTCCCTGGAGACGGAGAAAACGGATACCGGCACGACGAGCAGACTACTGGTGACACAGGCCAGATTGACCGACAGCGGAAATTACACCTGCATCCCTAGCAACGCGAACCCAGCGAGCGTAATGGTCCACGTGCTGAATGGTAAGCGATTTTTTTATGATGCGGACTTATCCGGCAGTCCATCATCCCTCGCTTCGCGACGTACCCGGCAGTAGGATATCCGGATATTCGGATACTCAGGGCTGTGCTTAATGACATATCGCGATGGAAACGTCTGAACATTCGCGGTTAAAATATTCAGATAACCCGACACTGGGGAAAACCTCCATATATCACGAGTATTATCTACCAAGCCGCTTCCCACACGATGCGATAAGTTGCTAAATTTTCAACAAATGCAAATGCGTTGCATTTATATGACGAATTTTATCGAGGCAAATATGACGAATTTAATATTCATGCTTAGGCATATCTCGTGCAGTGCGTTTCTTTTTATTCACTGGTTTTGTAAATTTATTCATTCATTTCACTAGTTTCGAACTAGAGAGAAAGAGAGAGAGAGAGCAGCAAGATAATATGATGCAAATTAAATTACATGTACATCGAATTGCATAACATTTAAACTGGAAGTTTACTGGTTTAAGATCAATTAGTTTCTATTCAGGAAACACGATATGCCGCTTGCAAACCATTCAAGACTCTCGCTTGATAAACAAAGTCAGAGGCAAGTTCTCGACAATTTACACGCTCCACGCTACAATGTAATTCATTTATGCAAGCGAATTATCCAAACAATAGAAATATCAAATTGCAATATTTTATCTAGACAATATTGGCTCGATATTATTAAGCGATCTTCTTTATTGTTGCAGTATTATTCTAATATTTAGTAGACTAAATTTCCTTTATTTTCTCTTTTTTTATTTACATAAATTATGTACGTAAAATTTTTCTTGCATTATGTGATTCGATATATTGTCTCCATGGTCGAATTTTTCTCTCCTCTTCGTGGTTTCATTTTTTCTTTGCGACGCGGTGGAGAAGCACGAGAAGCGAGTCAAGTAAAGTCAAGTCAAGTTGCTGCGTCATGTGCACGCTCTTCGATAAACGTCGCGTGCACACGCACACTCAAGAGTCATCGCATGCGAAAAAATTTCCAAGCATTGGCGTATAAACATTTCCATGTCGGCATTCTTGTAATGCCGCATTTTCATGTCCGCTATATCATACAATTCGATCAGAGCTCGCGGCTAACCGCTTGTTTTCGATTAACTGCAACTGGATTTGCATGATATTCGTTTAGAGGTATCCGGAAAATATTTGTGATGCCTGTATATAGTTTCGTACGAGTTTATTTGATTAAATATACAACTACGCATTGACTGTCCCAATTCGCTGAATTCAATATTTTGATTTTATTAATAACTGATTTTCAAAGATATAATACTAAAAAATATAGAACATGAAATGCTGTAACATTAGTTTTTGTCTATCAAGGCTAGAATAAAGTTCTACTCAACATAAACCTACTAATCACCTCTTTATTGCAAATTTATATTTCAATGATTTAATAAATTTGCTTGCATATACGTGTATTCCATTTTTGTATTTTGCAAGCGAAATATTATAAATGGACATTATAACAGTTGATAATCCATATCAATGTCACTATCCATCGCTTAGCCGTATATATAAAGATATATATTCGAAATGTATTATAGTTCTCTCTTAATTATCTCTCTCTTAATTATTTGATACATTATTATCGTATGATTACTTAGCTTTTTCATATTTATTTATTATATTAATTAACTCTATTTATTTATAATAACTGAATTAATGTAAAGAATACTCTCTCTCCTTCCCTCCTCCCTCTTTCTCTCTTCCTCTTTCTTTCTCTCTTTCTCTCTACCTCTCTAATCCCATTCTATATTTTATTTATAAAGCAAATAAATTATTTCTACTACTAAAATATAAATGTTTGTTATTTATATCTCTGATTTATGGATATACATATGTTGTCCAAAACTTAAATCTTTTTTATGCATTTACTTGACTACATATATCTCTACGTTCCTTTTTCTTTTTAGCCTCCTGCGTTCTATTATTGCGAGAGTAAAAGTTGGATTTAACAAATCTTTTTGTAGACATTTAGAAATTCGGCGCATTGTTTTTTTTGTTTTGTTATTGTATCATTCTCTTGAAAACATCTATTTAATAAAAAGATTCAAGAATAGCAAAATTTTCCGGCAACTTTTAGATTGTGTATGCACGACCGACAAATTTTACATTAATAAGCGCTCACATATTCGCGACGCAAGTTTGGTGACAGGAAGCCAGACTCCTGAAATGTGACATTCGAAAGAGACGGGGTGCGTTCATTCATCAAGTATCGAAATCCCCCGTCATAAAGTTTGACAGGTTCGTATATTGGAGTCGCAGCAAGTACTCGGCACCGCACGCATATACTCTCGCTTTTGATCTATTGTCAGCCGGCACAGCGCGCTTGCGATAACACATGTAATATCTTGTTCGGCAAGTTCACCAATCCAAGCTGTCAATCATCGCGAGCTCGCTGTCCTGGCACGCGCGTCTCGCGAAACTCGTTGCAGCTGTTCGAAATTGACAACTTTCGCGCATCCTGCCGCGTACCAAAAGTGGAGAGATTTATAGACTATAATAAATATTTATAGATTTTGATAAAATATCTCAATAATAGAAGATTTTTCTACAAAAATAAAATGTATGTAATTATGAAATATATATCAAATAATTTTAAAATAATGCTGAAATTTACGTAGTAATATTTGTGTCATAATTAGAATTATAATTTCTTTTATAATTAACTTTTTCTTAATAAAGATATATCATATATATTTCAAAGTTGTAATATATAACAATATTTTATCCTTTAGTATATGTCAAGAAAACTTTGCTCTCAAACAGAATTTTAATATTATATTTAATTAATAGAGAATATTTAAAATACAATATGAAGAAATTATGAAAAAATGATATCTTGCAATGAAATAATTATAAGAATAATTATAATTATTATGTGAATATATTGTCATTTTATTTATATGACGTAGTTTGTGTTCGGACAACATTCAAAAAAACAACTGACAATATTGAAAAAAAAAAACTGCATCAATATTCCGTAACTTTCATTTTGCTCCATTCCACTCTGATGTAGCATGCATCCTGGCTAACAGCGTAATAAATTTACAATACCGCTGGCCTCTCCTCTCAACTCTTGATTAAATTAATGTTTTCGAATCGAAGCGAAGCACCCCATGTCGGAGTGCTAGAAAAATCAACAAACCCCTTCGGCAACTAGGCAACTAGATCTCCCGCCACGTACACCGCGCGTTTGCACGGCAATCGAATTGTAGAACTTAACAAGCTTTCTTCGACGTTTTCACGGTTTTCACGCAGCCCTCGCTCTGTCCGCCCCCCCCCCGCGCGCCCCGCGGCGCGCTTTCCTCCCTCAAACCATCGATCGCACCCACTTTCATCCGGAAACGCCCGGCTGAGTACGCGCCTCGCTCCGCGGATCGGCCGCTTCCGGTGCCAGATGAAAATTAATGCGGCGCAGTTCGTCTGCATAATTAATTTACGGGGCGCACCCGGTCGCAGTGGTCGGCGCATCGGCCATCGACGTTATTTCAAACACAGCTGATTACTCTGCAAAATTGACCGCAAATTTCAATTATTTCCCGATAAACCCGTACGGAGCGACCCCGGGGCTATCCGTTCCAACACGTACTACCTGCGCATTAACGCAATTACGCATGTCGACCGTGCCCCACCGACGCCGCCGTCAACATTTCGAGTGTCGGGGACCGGTGTCATTTTTCGATAACGGGCTAGGTAAACGGCGGTATAACGGCCGTATAACTCCGTCAAATGAGATTTTCAATTTGCTCGTAAATTGCGGCCTTTCCGGCGGGACCGGCAAGCGACCGGTTACCACGATGCGGGACCACCGTTATGTTTCTACCGCCGGACCCGTGATTATCTTTATTGCCATTGAATGCGTGTGTGTGTGTGTGTGTGTATATATGTGTATGTTTTGTGCACAACGGCGATATCGCGCGCCGTCGTCATGGAGCGAGAAATTGCTGTTTCGCCCCCAAATGCGGTGCCCGCCGTAGATGCAGTTATTGCCGAACAGAGCGATATTTCGTTTGCAACTCGTGCCGTAGCACGTTTTACACCCTGCTAGAACGCACATTGCGTAAACTTTGCGTCAAACGCGTTATTCCCTTCTGAACCTTATATAGTGACGTATAAAAGTTGGTAGCTTTTATAAATTTATCGCAAACGTTGTGACCTACATGTGCGAATGATAATATGACTAAAAAATATATAATAAGATACATCTCAATTTTTATTAAAAATTAAACATTTGGAAATTGCTTAGGCAAAGAGTATTTATAAAGAATAATTAAAAGTAATAATTATTATCTTATCAAAAAATTTTGCAATAATATGTATGAAAAGATAATACATATAATCAATGTGTTTAAACTATTAATAAATCAAAGCATTAATCTTTATTGTAATATAAATATTATTTATAACCATGTATAAATGCATTGGATAATTTTGAAAGAAAAGAATTTGTTTCATTGCACATTTCATTCTCCCGATTTTCCGGTTATTTCACACAGGACCTAGGTTGCGAGATTGTCATTAGGCTGGAAAGTTCCTGCTTAGCGTTTAACGCGTTATACGAACGATTAACCTACATTGTGAATCTAATTAGGGCTGCGCAATTAAACTCTTGCGTTATGTAGCTAGCCGAGATAATATTCAATGTATAACGAGTCTGCGATGTAGTTTATTTAGAATTAGTTATTGAGATAATGAATATTGCTTTAACTTTTCAACAATTTTCCATATATACTGCTTCCATAGTGAACAGCTATCAATATTATTAGTTGCAGTTAAATGTGATAACGGTGCATTAGAAAAGTACGCGCAAAGATATTCACGTTTATTGATGTCTTCTCTGTCAATTAAGATATTTTGATTATTATATTTTAATGTCACGTTTAATAAAACGCGTCATCCCACAATATCTATAATATCTACAAAAAAATCTACAAGATAAAAAAAAAAGAATACAGGAAAGTGCAAGTGACAATATAAATTGCTGAACAAAATAATTAATGTACGGGACAAAATTGAAGGCAGAGATGGATTAAAAATGCGATTTGCACATTTCTGTTATAGGTGAACATCCAGCGGCAATGCAGCATGGTGGTAGTTGCGGTGTGGCCCCGACTATTTTGCTCGCTAGCATCACTCTCATAGTCGCGAATCTGCTAAGGTGAGCAGCCGTGTAGTGAATCGCACATCTTAAACGAGAAAAAAAAGGAAAGAAGTGTCAAACGCGTCGAGACGGTCACGAAAATATCGAAAGTAAACGCGGCGGCTGACACGATGATCGTGAAACGGAAAAATCGGAAAAATCGCCGACTACGATAGATCGCTTTTAATTCACTCGTCGTTATTACGTGCTGCCCGTATCCGTTTGTCGAGTGCTTGGAAGTGACGAACGAGAGAACAATACGGACGATATGCAGCGGACCAGAGTTCTGTGTGAGGGGCGCAGTGGCGGACAATCTTTAACACGTACGTTTTTAACACGAAAATCTCTGTCTTAGACTATCTCTTCTTTTGTATGAAATCGTCGTGTTAAATGCGAAAAGTGTGCCCAGAAGACCATTCTCGATTACATATTAATGGCGTCATGGTTGATCGTATACGCCAAAAGAATTCTCTCGCACTTGTGCTTTTTATTAAATCGACATGTGTTACATGTGGCTCAACGAATGTGCGTGAATTCTCTTTAGTGATGAAGAAATTATTCATCTCTCGTAATTTTGTTGCGAGAGCAAAATTAGAATTTGTATTTTAATTAATTTAATAAGGGCCTCGTAGAATATTCCACATCGATCAATAGAGTCGTAATGAGCTCGTCACGGAATAAAATCGGTCGCGATTTCCAATGTTTTCAAATCGAGTATCGATGGCTGGATCCGTTCGATGGCTATGAGATAATTATTACATAAATTAAAGTTTATAATCTAACGATTGTCAACTACTGGCGTAATAATTATCAGATAGTTAAAGCTCTCTTGTACATAAAACAATTAATAAACGTATAGGATTTACCGCGACCTTGTTGTACAGTATAATGCACGTGCGAGAGTTGTCACGTGACTAACCATCATTTTCCGTCGCACCTTTCATCTGGATATATTGTATATATTTTATATTATTTATAATTATATATTTTTTGATTTATATGTGCTTATGTACTTTTGCCCAGGTTCAACTTACTCGGCTTTTGTTAAACATACAATATTATTAAAAGACAAAATATTGAGATAAATCAATTGTGATAATTTGTAAGTATGATGCACTGATGTTATTTCTTTAAAGAACTATAAGAATCATTTATTGTAAACAGATAAGAATTAAATTTGAATGCGATAATATTATAGTTATATAAAAAATTGGAAATTTATATAAGAAAATATTTTGTTTTTAGAATATGAAATTTTAATTGACTAATGCAATTACAAAATTAAGGTCTCTTACGGAATTTGCGTTCCAAATAAGATATTTAACGTTATTGAAAATTTGTGACAACCCAATTTTTGCTTCAAAACTTATTTGAAAAAAAAAAATGCAAAGGAATAATTTATAAAAGAGTTTTTATCTTAAAAAGAGAGTTAATGCATGCGCGCGTGTTACATTTTAAAAGAATTAGTTTCAACATTTTGTAAACGATTAATTGATTATGAACTAATCAAAGGCATAAAAAGACGTCATCGCATGTGGAAATTAATTCTTTTTTTTAATTTATAAAACATTATTACAAAGGATTTATAAAATATGATTGTTGTCAAAATATAATTGTTTTAACATCAGAAGAATGTTTACAGTATACGCGGTTATCTCATAAAAGAATGAGCGAATTATGAAAACTGATCGTCTTAGTAATGGTAGTAGATAGGGCTATTCTCGATATGTTTCTGTTTGTTTATTGCAAGCAGGTATTTTAAATACTAAATGACTCGCAAGATTGATGCGTATCTTGCTTTGTCGTTCAATAATCAAAATGCCACACACAGGTAATGTTTCTCCTCCAATATTATTTAATTTCCAGAAATTTGTTCGATTTTTGCTCTGAGAATATTAAAGTAATTTTTTTTGAAAATCAAAACGCGTCAAAATAAATTCTCCGATTAATCAAAATATAATCAAATTGACATCAATCGTTCATGGATAATGGACATTACATTTTTAAAGCCTATAAAACACAGAGCTCGTGTATAGATAAGAGAGTATGAAAAGATAATATGTACGTATATTTAAATAGATCAGTAATATAAGCGTTCGCATTATGTATCATGATAATATTACGTCGATATACGGAAAGTATAATTCGAGAGATCAAAATATAAGTATAAGAGAAATAAAAGTTCTTTTGCAAAATTAATAAAAAATTGTCTTTACGATAACTCATTTAAACTTTCCAAAATGTTGTTACATTATCACGCGGAATTAATTTATTATATATTGTTAAAATATATTGCAACTATTTGCATTAAAAAATATAAAAGTTCAGATGTTTTTATACTGTTTATTTATACACATTTTTTTCGTGTAAGTAAATTTAATAATTTGTTAAGTATCAAAATTTTTCTTTTTAAAAACAATTATAAAGTGACTTACTGATTATTGCGTTTTGCAAGTAAATTAAATAAGTCTGTATATAATTGACATAATTCCACGCTGTTAAAACTTCACTTTTCATTAATTTGATCATAAACTTTATTCATTAATATTAAATTATACAGTGGTCTTCCGACTTTAGTGTCGATCTAATCGCATATTTCCATCAAATTCTAGTAAAGATAAATGCTTAATTAATCGTTCCTCCATTTATTTCACTAAAGCTATTAAATCTTGATTATCTAAGCTACAATAGTTAAGCATCTTTTAATGACTTTTTCGAATAATTTCTTGCAATCTAAACCGTCTTCTCCGAGAAGAAAAGAATACGAGAGAGAGAGAGCAAGACCCTAGATCTGATCATTAAATAATCCAGTGTACGTAATATACGATATAGCGATAAATCAATAGATAGTAGGTTTATTACAAAATATAATGTAACACGAGTAAAGAAATATATCATAATAATTAACATGTTAAGATGCAATTTCTTAGAATAGATTTTTTATAACGTCGTAGCTCGGAAAAAAATACAAGTTAAGATCTACCAATCGTTAGAGATTGTCCATCATTTCTGAAACTTCAGAAAAAGTTAAAATCGGAGGAGAAATACCACGGTGCTATCATTTTATGTATAATGTGTATCATAATTTATATTGATATATTAAATAAATGAACGAATTCAATTAACAAAATTGATATGTACTCTGAACAAAATTGCGAATCACACTACGGTGCGGGGAGACTGATTTGGAGTGCAATCATATAAAAAGTGATCAAGTGAAAAGTGAAAAATTAAATTTTTTTTATGGATTAAAAAATGTGACGAATTTTATGAATAAAAAAATATCTTCACACATAGAACGATTGCTGTGTGTAAAATTCAAATACATATTTAATCAAGCTTAATTTAATTTAAAAAGACTTATATTTGCGATGTTTCTCATTTTGATCGTTTTTTAGAAGAGTCCATTGTAATTTTTTGTAGCGAAAAGGTATGTGGCTCAATTGTGAAATTTAATAATAATATTCCTGTGCGTAAAAAATGATCAAACAGAAAAGTATCGAGAGGGGTATACCTATTTGTGAACTAGATAATCGATATCCGCGATTCGCATACTTACGGAGAATGTTGCACATTATATAGTTAAGAAATTAGACTGCATTGTACATATAATTCATAATCGATAATATATTATGTTATAGAAAAACTTAAGCATGAATAAAAAAAGACAAGATTAAAAACGCGCGAAAATGCGATATAGAATATTATATTGTAAAAATACCCATCGACGTGGATACTGTTTCAATAAATGTAATGATAATATAAAAAAAAAAGACTTTTTTACTTGCTCCTCCTGTTAGATACTCTTTTTGTTAAGCGTATATATATTTTTTATATAACATAAACAATAGTTATATCTATAATATTGCTAATTTTAAAAGTTTTGTCCAATTTTATCATATTTTTCTAATATTTTTAGAAACTATTAATATTCAAATTTTTTATCGACTACGAAAGAGAGATAAAGACTAGAAACCAATTTAAATTTTGCACTTGAATAAAAGGAGTAAAGCCCCCAAAAAATATATAGTTGGAAATAACAGAGTTGTCAAACACAGATAAATTTTTCTCAAAATTTAATCTCTCTTTGCAGAGATTATAAATTTAAATAGTGGATTGTAATTTTATATTTAGTTTAACTTCTATCATATTTAGATTAATATGTTATTATATAAAATATTGTGCAGTTTTTTTATTATATATGTAGAGAAATATTTATTTAAAGAATACGCCGTTTTTTTAATTAGATACGGAAACGGTTGGTCTTAATTGATACGCAGCTCATATATATCGATTTTTTTATGCGTCACATGTGTGCAATGCGCTCCAGTTTTATGCGTGAAAAATAGTAGATGGAAAAATACGTACATGCTATTAGCGCGAAACATACGTAGTAAGCGCCTCATATTTATCGCATGCGTATGTTGCTGCTTTTCGAAAATTGTTAAACAGAAATTTAAAAATATGCAGAAATATTTATAATAAAGCTGCGGCTCTTAATTTCATTAATTGCTTTGATGATGTGTGTGAAGCTGATGTATCATTTTGTAGAAACTCATAAATAATTAAAAGTATTGGTTTAATTTTAAATAAATACATAGTTCTTGATAATTCAAACAAATAATATATATTAATTTCCTCTAAATATTAAAAACAAACTATATTTTTATTATTTCTAATTATGTATATATAGTTGGTATTACATTAAAAAAATATATGATTGCATTATATTTAATGGATTATTTTTAATGGATGCAGTCAGAACGCGAAATTGCAAGCCTCAAACAGCCATCGAGCAACTTCCGGACTTTCGAAGGCAGTGAATTTGGAAAGTATAATTCGAGAGATCAAAATATAAGTATAAGAGAAATAAAAGTTCTTTTGCAAAATTAATAAAAAATTGTCTTTACGATAACTCATTTAAACTTTCCAAAATGTTGTTACATTATCACGCGGAATTAATTTATTATATATTGTTAAAATATATTGCAACTATTTGCATTAAAAAATATAAAAGTTCAGATGTTTTTATACTGTTTATTTATACACATTTTTTTCGTGTAAGTAAATTTAATAATTTGTTAAGTATCAAAATTTTTCTTTTTAAAAACAATTATAAAGTGACTTACTGATTATTGCGTTTTGCAAGTAAATTAAATAAGTCTGTATATAATTGACATAATTCCACGCTGTTAAAACTTCACTTTTCATTAATTTGATCATAAACTTTATTCATTAATATTAAATTATACAGTGGTCTTCCGACTTTAGTGTCGATCTAATCGCATATTTCCATCAAATTCTAGTAAAGATAAATGCTTAATTAATCGTTCCTCCATTTATTTCACTAAAGCTATTAAATCTTGATTATCTAAGCTACAATAGTTAAGCATCTTTTAATGACTTTTTCGAATAATTTCTTGCAATCTAAACCGTCTTCTCCGAGAAGAAAAGAATACGAGAGAGAGAGAGAGAGAGAGAGAGAGCAAGACCCTAGATCTGATCATTAAATAATCCAGTGTACGTAATATACGATATAGCGATAAATCAATAGATAGTAGGTTTATTACAAAATATAATGTAACACGAGTAAAGAAATATATCATAATAATTAACATGTTAAGATGCAATTTCTTAGAATAGATTTTTTATAACGTCGTAGCTCGGAAAAAAATACAAGTTAAGATCTACCAATCGTTAGAGATTGTCCATCATTTCTGAAACTTCAGAAAAAGTTAAAATCGGAGGAGAAATACCACGGTGCTATCATTTTATGTATAATGTGTATCATAATTTATATTGATATATTAAATAAATGAACGAATTCAATTAACAAAATTGATATGTACTCTGAACAAAATTGCGAATCACACTACGGTGCGGGGAGACTGATTTGGAGTGCAATCATATAAAAAGTGATCAAGTGAAAAGTGAAAAATTAAATTTTTTTTATGGATTAAAAAATGTGACGAATTTTATGAATAAAAAAATATCTTCACACATAGAACGATTGCTGTGTGTAAAATTCAAATACATATTTAATCAAGCTTAATTTAATTTAAAAAGACTTATATTTGCGATGTTTCTCATTTTGATCGTTTTTTAGAAGAGTCCATTGTAATTTTTTGTAGCGAAAAGGTATGTGGCTCAATTGTGAAATTTAATAATAATATTCCTGTGCGTAAAAAATGATCAAACAGAAAAGTATCGAGAGGGGTATACCTATTTGTGAACTAGATAATCGATATCCGCGATTCGCATACTTACGGAGAATGTTGCACATTATATAGTTAAGAAATTAGACTGCATTGTACATATAATTCATAATCGATAATATATTATGTTATAGAAAAACTTAAGCATGAATCAAAAAAGACAAGATTAAAAACGCGCGAAAATGCGATATAGAATATTATATTGTAAAAATACCCATCGACGTGGATACTGTTTCAATAAATGTAATGATAATATAAAAAAAAAAGACTTTTTTACTTGCTCCTCCTGTTAGATACTCTTTTTGTTAAGCGTATATATATTTTTTATATAACATAAACAATAGTTATATCTATAATATTGCTAATTTTAAAAGTTTTGTCCAATTTTATCATATTTTTCTAATATTTTTAGAAACTATTGATATTCCAATTTTTTATCGACTACGAAAGAGAGATAAAGACTAGAAACCAATTTAAATTTTGCACTTGAATAAAAGGAGTAAAGCCCCCAAAAAATATATAGTTGGAAATAACAGAGTTGTCAAACACAGATAAATTTTTCTCAAAATTTAATCTCTCTTTGCAGAGATTATAAATTTAAATAGTGGATTGTAATTTTATATTTAGTTTAACTTCTATCATATTTAGATTAATATGTTATTATATAAAATATTGTGCAGTTTTTTTATTATATATGTAGAGAAATATTTATTTAAAGAATACGCCGTTTTTTTAATTAGATACGGAAACGGTTGGTCTTAATTGATACGCAGCTCATATATATCGATTTTTTTATGCGTCACATGTGTGCAATGCGCTCCAGTTTTATGCGTGAAAAATAGTAGATGGAAAAATACGTACATGCTATTAGCGCGAAACATACGTAGTAAGCGCCTCATATTTATCGCATGCGTATGTTGCTGCTTTTCGAAAATTGTTAAACAGAAATTTAAAAATATGCAGAAATATTTATAATAAAGCTGCGGCTCTTAATTTCATTAATTGCTTTGATGATGTGTGTGAAGCTGATGTATCATTTTGTAGAAACTCATAAATAATTAAAAGTATTGGTTTAATTTTAAATAAATACATAGTTCTTGATAATTCAAACAAATAATATATATTAATTTCCTCTAAATATTAAAAACAAACTATATTTTTATTATTTCTAATTATGTATATATAGTTGGTACTACATTAAAAAAATATATGATTGCATTATATTTAATGGATTATTTTTAATGGATGCAGTCAGAACGCGAAATTGCAAGCCTCAAACAGCCATCGAGCAACTTCCGGACTTTCGAAGGCAGTGAATTTGTGTATTGTCCCGCAATTTTTCTTTCACGACGCACGCGTGCGATGTTTTGCACTGGATAGTGGCAGGCGAACAGAGCGCACGGGAAAACTGCAGCACAATTAAACGCGATACGCGCGGTAAGCCCCGGCTATCTACTACGTGTAGCCGGCTGTTTCCAACTTCGCCACCGCGACAATTAACGAACGAACGCAACGGATCAGGCGAGCTGTCGCGCAATTCGTGCCGCGATTGCTTCGGCCAGCGTCAAAACGAGACGAGAATATGAGAATTTCCCCAAATCGAATGAACGAGATACAATGGCAGTCAGATGCATGGACAAAAGTCGAAATCGGTGAAGAAGGAAAATGATTCTTGATAAACGTATTTTTGAAAAAAAGAACTTGAGAGAGAACATTCGATATGTATTCAACGTCTTCTTTTTTGCATGTTATGTTATGTTTTGCATTGTTATGTACGATACTATAGATATTTTTAATTTCTCTTAATTATATATATGTATATATAATTTTTAATAAAAATGCAATAAACAAAAATCTAATTTTTAGATAAATGATTTAAATAATTATACAATTTTTAAACATTTATAAATATTTTATACATATCTATATAAAAATGTTAATTAATATAAATATTTTGAATATTTCAAGATAAAATCTAGGATATTATACATACATATGCATTATATATTACGGAATAATTTAAACTAAACCACTATCGTGAAGATAAAAATGAATCCGTAATTTTACGAGTAAAAAATAATAAATTTAATAAAAATTATAAATCGCTCACCCTGCAGTTGCTCTGCCATCGCCCAATGTTTTCCAGGGATTTCCTCTTGTTTTTTGTTAGTTTTTACCGCTTCTTCATGGCACTCACTCGAGAGAACACTGTTTATTACAATCGGCCAACATTTTGCATGGCACTTCTGAATTAATTATACGCGATACGCATTATATTGCGACGTGAGAAAGAATCCGCTTGGTACTCGAGAATTATTCAGTTAGATTAACGTGCCATTCGTGATGCTATTGTTCACAAAATTAATAATAACTTTATTTATTCACTAATTAAAATTACGTTGCGACGTCACTTGATTCGAAATTGATGTGTACTATATCCGCGTTTCGTTAAATGACTGAAAAATATGAAAAAATAACATTAGCTGCGTCTCGATATCGCGCGATACTATACGAATTGAGTTAATGAGCAATTAAAAGATTCAATAAATCATTAGAAAATAATTGAAAATCAATATATAGTAAGTACAATATATTTCTAACCTATAATGTTGCGAAATACATATACATATTATTAATAAATGGTCAAAGATATTATACCTTTTTATTATTTTGATTAGTCTCCGCCGCGATGTAATTACGTGTCATTTATCGCAGAAGTCGATCAATTCTACAGACTAATACTCACTAAGTGATATAATTGAAGAATGATCGCGTTCCGAACGATGGAACGACTGACGCCGCTACATTCATGCTCGAGTCTCGCCGCGCGAATAACAACAAGGTTACGAATACAAACAACGGTGCGTTATACATATATTATGAAGCACTTTGGCGTTCGTGTCTTATAAACAACAACGTTATACACAGCGTTTTAAAAACAACAGTTATATAGTACGAAGTTTTGCGCTCGTTTATTTTGTTAAATTGTTATCTTATAATTTGAGAATAATGTATTTATGAGAAAATTAAATCTCGCATACATACATATACACAGACTATATATATATATATATATATATATATATACATAATATAGTTTCATTAATAATTAAACAAAAAAGCCAATCATTAATAATCTTGAAAGTAAATTGCATACCAGCAATGGCTTTCTCTAAATCCTTTGCGGCAATTTTCACTCCTTGAGCTGCTTTGACTTCGCGATGTTCGATATACGCACTCTGTGGAATGAAAAACGATATATATACACGATACAATAAATATTATATTACAAAAAGATATACAAATAAAAGATATACAGAAAAAAATAACTAATGAATAACATTTCATTATTTTCAACTCACAGAATGTAACAGATTTGATAAATTACCTTAACTCTTAATTCTTTTAACGGTTGCGGCATAAGAAGCGAGCGAATTTGCGTTACAATAGGCCCATCCGTACCAGCGATAATGACTGTATCGCCTTCTTTTAACATTCCATTGACTAGAATACAATCTATCGTAGTGCCGAGTCCAGGCAATGCTTTGACCTCCAATACGGTAGCCTGAAGTTCTTCACTGTACATCAATCTCTTAGCCAGAGGACCCTGACAGGCATCAACTATTAATGCCAACAGATTACCCATGCCTTCGCCTGTGTATTGTGATACAACAAAATGTGAAAAGTCATTCTAATATTTTCATCAAATGCTATGTCTCATCTTGAAGCATATGTAACTTATTCTATACCTGTTATAGCACTGGTAGGAACTAAAGATACATAATTCCTAGGATCTGGATTCTCATAATACAATGCCGCATTGAGACCTTGTTCAGCAAACTGCACAATTACGTCCTTTGACCGCTTTTCGAATTCTCGCTGAGTATTAGGTGCTTGATTCTTCACTATATCTTGAACATCCTTACGACTCATAGTTTGCCAATCGTATAACCTGAAAAGATTAAATCATGACGATATATTTCTAAAATGTATATTATTTAATTGCAATAGCAAATTGATCACTTAATGCGAAAAATTACCTATCAATTTTATTAAGGGCAACAACAAAAGGACATTTTTTTACTTTCAATAAATTGATACTCTCTATAGTTTGCGGTTCCAACCCATGCATAATATCTACAACTAAAATTGCTATATCGCAAAGAGAAGATCCTCTGCTCCTGAGGTTACTAAATGATTCGTGACCAGGTGTATCTATGATCAAGAGACCAGGAATTTTAAATTTCTTGTCAGCAAACTAAAAACAAGAGAAGAAACAATGTATGTTGTAAAATATTTAAAAGACTTCAATATCTGAGGACTTGGATCTAAAATAAAAACACTTACGCCTTTTACATGCTTTGTCGAATCTTGGATAGCTTCAATCGGTACATTAGTAGCACCGATTTGTTGAGTTATACCACCAGCTTCTCCATCCTGTACATTCGTTCTCCTGAGTTTATCCAGAATCTTGGTTTTGCCAGTATCTACATGGCCTAAAACGCAGACTACGGCAGCTCTCAGATTATCTAAAGATTTCTTCTTTTCAGCTTCTATACGACGATTTTGAATTCGTTCTCTTGCACGTTCCTTTTTACGTGCAGCATCTGGCACTCTATCCTCCACCTCACTGTCTTGTTCACTATCTTCTTCAGATTCAGATTCACTCCCACTTTCGCTTTCTATTTCACTTTCGGAGGATTCTTTCTTTTCTGATTCAGTAATAGTAGACACTTTTTGAACAGCTTCTGCCGCTGTTTCGGATGTCTTGAGAATATTGTCCGATTTATCTAAATTTTATTAATATAATGTGTAATTATTCTAATCACTATACAAACATAATTATATGACAATTGTATGACAATTGTAATGTGTATATATTATTGTAATACCTTCATCTTCCTGTTCATCTTCAGTGGTGTCGGCATCCCATGAATCCTTGACATCATCTTCTTCCTTCTTCTCCTCCTTTATTTCCTTTACCAGTTCATCTACAATTTCTACTTGCACTTGAGCCGCTGATGTTTCAATTTTCTCTTCCTCTTTTTTCTCCACACTACCTTGTTGTTTCATTTTGTTTGGCCTGATTCGAGTTCCTAAAATAATTCAATGATTAATATAACTTTATATAATAAATAATATAACTTTATATAATAAATTTTGGTTATATTTTTCATATATATGCAATTTGCAAAATACCTGGTCTAGGCTTTTTTTCTCCTACATCTGGCAAATCCAGACCCTGAGCTTTAAGTGCTTCAATCATCGCTTGTGCTCTAGCTCTGTCCTGCTTTTGTTTTGTAGTCAAAAACTTTCCTTCTGCTTTCAGCCTCTCTTTCCGCTGTTTTTCTTTCAATTTCTTCTTTTCTTTACGCTCTTGTTCAAGTCGCAATTGTTCTTGCCTAGCTTGCTCCCGTAATTCCTCTTGCCGTATCCTTTCCTCTTCCTCGCGCTTTAATCTCTCTTCCTCTTCTTTTAATTTCCTTAAAGCCTCCTGCATAGCAGCAATAGTTTTCTTTCCAGGACCTTTGCCTATTACAAAATCCCTTCTGCTATGTTAGAAGAATAATTATATAAAT